ACCTATGCGTCCTATGGGACTTTTAAAAAATAAAGTATATGGTTGGTCCACTTTTTGTAAATTAGCACCCCCCCCCAACAAAAATCCTAGCTACGGGCCTGGAAGGCTATTTGATACACGGACCAGTTTTGATACACGGACCAAGGGAAAGTAAGCAATTTTCAGCCATTTTTTGGCAGCGAAAATCGTCCCTGGAGCTCAAACCGATTTTTCCCTTCTTCTCGAAAACAAAAAAGTATTTTTCAAAACTAACCACACAGCGTTTCATATTTAATCATACACTACTAAAATCCAAAAGTAGAGCGAATTCGAAAATTTGAGCCTTACAAAAATTGTATTTTTTTAGACAGTCACTCTTAACCAGTGATTATTAGACCTCCAAAGGTTGTTCCATTAAAGTTTCAGCTGAATTAAAATTCGGATGATTTTCATGCTAGTCCTTAAAATCCACCAGACATAGTTAATTATTGTGGTTAGTAGTTATTACCTTTCCTGAAGACACGCCATGTGTTGCCCGTGCGCCTGCCCATAAGTACTCAAAGCCGTCTTGATGCAAACAACTACCAGTCAGCCCATCAGCTCCCACCACAAAGTTTAAATCGCTGTTGTAATCATCCAGAACAATGGGTCGACAAGAGAATCCACTATTGACATATGGGGGTCTGTATCCGTGTCCGCCATGTTGGCCATTGTATTGGTGTTGTTCGTACATTTTATGCCGTAACAACAAATGATTTCGTGCTAAAAATTTAGTAAAACGATGGGTTGATAAAAAACAATAAAATTAACGATGTAGCAACATTAAAAGTAGTTTTGATCGGTAGGGAATGGATGTTTTAGGAAAGTTTATAGTGAAAGTACCAAAACAAGGAAGACATCAATGAAACAGGGCTCCAGACCTCTTGAGTACACAGGGAGCCCAAAAGGGAGGATTTCTTTAGGGGAAAATAAGTTTGGGGATGGGGGAGATCCCCTCAGGAGCAACCAATTATGGTTAAGAACATCTAATAATTCCGTTAAAACGACTATTTAATGTAGTACTGAAATTAAACCATAAAAGCCTAAAAACATGATATAATCAATGTATAATTATTGTCAGACATGAATGTAAACTTGCCTTTTTTTAAAATTATATTCTTTGAGTTGTTTGGCTTGGAACCTGAAGGTAAGGTGTTACTTTTAGAGAGTCAGTATCAAGAGTGACACTGGAGGCCCAGGTTTTGTTTACACAATTTCCATAGAGTAAATAAATAGGCATGTGCCCTTAAAAGCTTTGTGTTTTCAGACAATGCTGGGAAACACCTCGATTGGTGTCCACCAAAACTCTGTTATGTCTTGAAATTTTTTTTCACGATTTCGCCTGTGTGATTGAGAAGCGCTGTAAACAAAGATTTATGTTTCAATCAGAATTAACATAGCTGCAGCTTGAGTAAGACCCCTACGATGGTACTGAGGGAATACCCCATTTTAAAGTTACGTTCAGTATGTAATGAACTTTATTATAATATTATTACTCAGGAATAAACCTCAATATCTCACATTTCCTACCATGAGTTTTATTACTTTTTTTACTGGAAATAATTAATACAGGTATATATGCTGAGCACTATATGAAACAGGAACAAAAAAACCTCAATTTCAGAAGAATGATGAATGAAAACATTACAACCTTGTTATCTCATTAGCACACATGTGCAACTTTCTTTGCTTAGGAAATATCACAGTGAAGTCAAAGAAAGTAGTGTTTGTACCAAGGGTAGAAAGAGATTTCTCGCAGATTTTATGTTACAGTTGCTCCTTATAGCATGCCTGGAATATAGCATGCCTCTTTAGCTTAGCCATTTATGTTTTCCAATTTCAGACTATATGTCATTCCTTAGAGATAATGTTCTTTGTTTGAGATTTTTTGTATTCATATTTATGTGTCTCCTCATGCACAACTGTTAAACAAAGAAATGATACTCAAGGGAATGACAAATGGGAAAGCATTATGCCCAAGCTAAAGAAGTCTATGCTAAAGAAGCATATTGTAGTCACAATGAAATAGGTTTTGGTCGATGACAATTGATTTAGTGTTTCTATGACATTTGATAGCCACGTGCCATTACTGTCATGAAAACTTGATCGCGATCTATCAAAACCCTATTTTGGTGAAACCTAAAATGGTATGATTTGACACACGGTATTGAGAAAGACAGTAATTCCATAGAGCATGGCTATGTAAATAGAACAAGTCATTTGATCTTATAATACACCAATACCAAACTCACAACGACTGGTATTCAGGTTGGTTACACGGGACCATTTGTTGGTTGCTGGGTCATATGCATCAATAGCTGTTAGAGTACTAGGCGCTGAGTATTCTTTTTTAGCTGATATACCACCAACAGCATATACAACCTTCATATCAACAGCAGCTGATAGTCCAGCTCTTGGTGATGGTAATGGTGCAACCTCAGTCCATTCGTTATGCTCAGGGTCATATCTCTCGACACTATCTAAAACACTATGTCCATTTTCAGTAGAGCCCCCTATAACATATATAGCATTTCCTAATGAAGCCACACCCATGTGAGCACGTGCAGTCTTGATATCTGGAAGTCTAGTCCATTTGTCTCGTACTGGATCATAGGATTCAGCTACCCTCAACTCTTCTGCATGCTCACTAATACCTCCTGTATAACAAGACAATATTTATTGTAAAATAACCAACTTTATCAAAATATAGATTACATACAAATTTTTTTTTTCTGGTCCGGTATCCTAAAAAATTGTGCGTTCTGATTGGCTTGCTTAAGCGGGCAGTATTTTGTCAGTATCTGCCCGCGCTGGCGGTCTGGTATCCTTTGCCGCTAAACAACAACAGTATATTCAAGACCTCGGGCACAGTATTTCCCTATACGGACCTCCTGGTTGGTAAATAACATATATTTATGTCACAATTTCAGCTAATGCAATTATTATTACATTATTTACTTCTTTTATTAGCATAAATTGAAAGAGAATATTGGGTTTATTACTCTATTGGAAACTCGAGAGGATTCAGGTCAACACTTTTTGAAAAATAATTTTGTTTGGCTCTTCTAAATGGCTCTTCTTCCACTGGATTCCAATTGGATTTCAAAAGTATATTTTTTACAGAGGGAGGAAAACCAGAAAACATGGAGAAAAACCCTCAAAGCACAGGAGAGGAAAAAAAAGCAACTGTACTCACATACAACATTGAGCCTGGTAAGATTCCAACCCGGGTTTTATTATTCAAAAACAAGGTTGCTATGCAACCCTAGTTCCCAGACATGTCTAATATATGACTTACCAATGGCATATATAAGTCCATTCAATTCTTCAACCCCAAGGTGGAAACGTTTTGTTCCCATACTACCAGCTATAGACCATTGATTTTCTTCAGGGTCATACTTTTCAATATTTCCAGCAACTTCTGTCCCACCCCAGCCACCAATTAACCCACCAATCACATAGATGCAGTTATCAACAATGCATACTCCAAAACCAACACGAGGAGCATTCATTGATGCTACAGTACTCCAGGTATTCAATGCTGGATCAAAACATTCTGTTGAATCAAAAAGTAAAAGAGAGTCATCCTCTCCACCAACGGCATATACCAGTCCATTAAGTGCAGTAACTCCTAGATTACATCTTGGTATTTCAAGAGGAGCAATTGAGCAAACCTCACACTTGTGAGAAAATGAATCAAATTTTTCACAGATAGACAAAGATGATCTGTCACTCCATCGTGCACCAACACTACGGCTGTAACCTCCAACAATGTAAAAACATTTACGTGAAGCTTTACGAGGTTGTAATGGATTTTTTAAAGTATTACGTGCAATAATTTGGTAGGATCGATAGCTCTGTAAGATGTTCTCCAGCATGCGTTTTAAACTGGCATTTTTGCATGAGTTAATATAGTATTTTATGTAATTCTCTGACATCAGTGGTAGACGTATACGTTCAAGGATTTTTCCCAAACATTCTCTTCTCTTGGGGATGTCATACAAGACCCAATCCATTGCTGCTTCAAACACATGGCTCTCTGTGTCAACCTTCAGATGTTCAGAATCAATCAGCTGTAGCACAGGCTCTTGGCCAAGTTGCAAAAATTCTTCTTGCTTTGATACTAACAAAAAATTTCTGTGAACATAATCTAGAGCGGACTTTCTTAGCTCAGTACAAGAATGGGTCTCAGCGAAAAGGAAAATCCCAACACAATTCGAAGGGTCTAGTTCACGATGTAAAAACTCACAACAACATCGTTCTATATCATCTAACTGTAGCATTTTTGCAGCAGGCAACAACTGCTGAACATTGCCTTCGTTAACATCGATGTATCCTGTATAAATGAAGTCTATGATGAGACTGAAGACATCTCCGTCTACTCCATGGATTTCCACAGTACTAGAATAACTCTCTGCCATTCCACCACTGAGTAGTACTTCAAAGTACTGACTTGAAGCACAGACAACCACTCGATGAATGTGGAACTGACGTCCATCAACACTCAAGACTCCGTCACACATGCGAGTCTGTTTGCGCAGATGTTGTAAACGGGCCAACAGTTTAGATGAGTGTTCTTGTGCTAGGCGAGACCTCGCTGCTTTTCTCTCAGTCATGTTTGATGGCAACTCCTTAGAGTCGCATTGAATGTCTTTAGAAAAAACATCCAATCCTAATATCCTAATTTCTGTGCAATTTTAGCTGATAAAACACGGAGAGATTTTCGACAAAACAAATTTCAAATCAATTTCGCTACTAAATGTCAAAATGTACAAGGCGTTCCTGGCGGGCCACGCCTGCGGTGCATTAGGGGTATTATCCGCTGATTCATCAGCGCGGGCTCAACAGCGGTAGATTTGAAAAAAGTTTTTCAGTTGGTTTGTATTTTGAAGCAGAATATATCTTCGATTGTTTCGAAAATACACGCTTGATGATGGCTCAGACACCAGTAGCCAAGGTACAGAAGAGCGCCCTGAGGGATAATAACACATTTTCTCCATTTTATATTCCTCCATCACCAGCCATGACTAAACTAGGTTGTGGTACTGGTGTTAATGTCTATCGGTTCCTTCGCACTTCACAAGAAGGACAGTCACCATGGGCCGTCAAGAAAGTGGCCAAAAGGGCTCGTCCAGGCATAAGTGAACGACTAGCACTCGAAGCAAGCATATTGAAAACACTCCAGCATCCTAACATCGTTGGTTTTCGTGCTCTGGCAGAAAATAAAGACGGTGATTTTTGCCTTGCCATGGAAGATTGTCACATGTCGTTGAGGGATCTAATAGATGAGAGGGAATACCTTGAAGAAAGATTCACTTATAAAGAGGTCCTGAAAGTAGCTTGGTCAATAGCTAAAGCACTCAATTACTTACATAACGAGAAGAAAATTCTTCATGGCGATCTCAAGAGTGGGAATGTTTTGATTCGTGGTAACTTTGAAGCTGTGAAGCTATGTGACTTTGGTGTAGCACTCAGACTGAAAGACGACTTGAGTTGTGTTGTAGGATCTCCCAAACGGTACATTGGATCTGAGCCATGGAAAAGCAGAGAAGCCTTGACACAAGATAATGGAGGAAGAGTGTGTGATAAAACAGATATATTCGCTTATGGACTAATGATCTGGGAGATGCTCACACTTGGTGTTCCACATGTAGACCTTCTCCAGGGTAAATATCTTGTACAACTTTATACTTAATGTACATATTTTCAAGAAATATTTAATACGAGACAACTCATTAGTCCTTAATAATATAATAAACGTATACCAGTTTTATGTTGTTTTGTACCAATTTTAGGTTTATGTACATTTATTATATTTATATGAGCTTGCACATACACATACACAAAAATATTGAAAAATTCATGAATAAGCAATGAGGATTCGAGCCAATCCAGCTTTAGAAATCAGGTCTCATGAATATCGTCTAATCCCAATACAAACTTTGAAAATGCTCATTAGATACAACCACTGTATCTTGTTCTGATACATCACTAGTAGTTGAATCTAATTAGCACATGAATTCTAAATGTCCCAAAGTATTTATGGATTATTACTGAATTTCACCAGTTCTTTACAAGATTACTTACAAAACAACTCATATCATTAACATACATGTTATGAACCTATATCAGTGATCTGCAACTGCTAATTGTTGCCAATTGTTAAGTTACAAAATTTGATTCCATCAACGAATTGCTTTCTTCAGATATTGCAACAAGTACAGATGGAACAATGAGTGAAGAAGAAGAAGATTCTGAAGAATATCTAGCTGCTCTTGGCACACGCCCACCCCTCCCCAAAGAAAACTTTGACAAGTCATTTGACCCTGTTATTGAGCTTTTCTATGGTTGTTCAGAAGAGGACCTGAACAAGAGGCCATCAACCAAGGAAGTTGTAGATGCTCTAAGACCCCATGTTTTAGAGCTCAAGATTGAGAATTTCTAGGACAGCTATAAAACCCGAATAATGTAGAGATAGAATTGGTCCTGAAAATGACTAGATTAGTGATGTTTTTACGATATAATCTGGTCCTTTGGTCTGGGTCCTCATGCCTAAGACAAGCAAATATGTATGATAAAATGTTTATGAAAATACTTGGGAACCCAGGGGTAAAGTTCTGTCACTCGTTTCTCGCTCACAGGAAAAAAAAAACCCTGGGCACAAAGCTTATTCAGGAAGTCAAAATTCAAATTAACACCTTCACATGTTTGTTTACATATACTACTTGATGCTTATGGGTCAACCTCAGTGCGTCGACTAATCAGGAAAGAGATTGATTCGGACTTCTGGAATGAGCTCAAATTCCATCAAATAGTTGGTACTAAATGTTATTGATGGAAGCCAAAATCCCGAGTGTCTAGGTGCAGATATCACAGTTCCACGGAACACATGAAAACAGTTCCAAACTAGTAGTACTGTAAACAGCAGGGGAGGGGGAAGGGGGATATGAGGTCATTGAGTTATATAGATCAAAATGTTAATTAGTAGTTTTCAAGATTCTACTTGTATTAGTTACGTAGTACTGTTGTATAGAAAAAAAGAAAATAGAGTTTTATAAAGAATATCAAGCAATGTCATAGCAACCAGTCTGTATATTGTAATGTTCATTGTAATCTAGCTTTGTTTCATGGTGTTCGGTATTTCTGACTAAAGGAGGATTTTTCACGAGCATGCTTTGCGCGCCGTACTCATTATGCATCTGTCTTTAGCGTTTGTTTAAAACATTTTCCTTGATTTTTTCGCCCAACAAAAACAACAGCCGTTCGCTTATTAAAGATTTTCTGTATCCATACTGACAAACAATAAAAAGTCTGGACATTTCTCTGGGACCTAGTTCGGTATTTTTGTAATTTTTGCCACAGGAAAAATCAAAATATGCCGTATCAATGAATGGATAGAAAAATATAAAAGTTGTTTTGACAAGCGAAGTGTTTGTAGGCTTTGAATTATGTGGGAATAAGTCGAAATTAGATGAAGAAAATTTAAAGGACACACCTATAATAAGTATAGTTTTCATACTATGATATRTCCCTTAGGCGCTGGCTAAACGGGGAAACATGTTTTCTTAAATGTTTCCAAAGGTGGCAAAACTGTCAGGGAACATCGGGAAACACGTTTACTCAATATAGGTTAGCACATGCGCACTTTCAAGATAGAGCTAGCGTTGCTAAGTAACGAACTTTTAGAATGTTRACTTTCGTGGCTAAACGAGGAAACATTGGGAAACACTGTTTCCATGCGTCTTGGAAGTATGAAATGTTTCTGCCGTACAGCAGAAAAAATTTTGCGTCTTGGAAGCAAAATTTGCTGCACGTAGCAATGTTTCGCATGTGGCTAAACTTGGAATCATCGGGGAACATGTGCGCGGGAAAAACATGTTTCTGCAAACTTGTTTCCTCGTTTAGCCAGGACCTTAGGTCTCCATGTTTGAGTGAGATACGGTCATTTGAATTTCCAATTTATCTTTTAATCTAACAAACTATAAACGAATGAATCAAACCACTAGAAACTGATTTTTTTTCAACTCAAGAAAGCCAAACCTGTAGTATTCAGTGCAGATAATGTGATTTTCCTTAAAAATTCAAATTCACGAAAAGCTTAAAAGTTTTTTAAAATGCAAAGGCAAAACATTCAAAGAAAATACTCGATCGAAGATAAACAACAACAAACTTAATACATGGCTTTTGTATATTACCTCGAACAAGGGCTGCTAGTAAAACCTTTAATCACTAGCGATTTTCCGCTTTCTTTCCGGAAAATCGAGATTGTCATTGTTCAAAAGATGCAAGTTTTCTTTCTTCAAAAATGGCCTGAGAAGATGGCTGATAACTGCCACAAGTTCAAAACACATTTTCAAAACAAACGTGAGTAAACAGAGTAGAAAAGCATGAAATACCAGGAGATTCCTTCTCTGAGTTCATTTTCTCTTGTTTCAATCATTTACTGTCCTTTGAAAATAAAATAAAATTGCCTCGTAATCCTTGTAGTACTCTTTAAAACAGATACCGTGTATCACTGTGTATATAGTTGTTTGTGGGACAATATTTTGATTGTCTATAAGGATATATATAGACTAGATATTTGTGCTGCGGTCATAATGTATCTAATAACTGAGCTGGTGATCTGCACAGTATTTCATCAAGCACCTTATGCAGCTACTAATCAGTATAAGACTAAGAAAAAATTCTGAGTCTTCAACGGCATTTGATCCCGTGCCCTGGCGATTCCGGTGCCATGCTCTAGCATTTTGATTTCAATGAGAAAACCTCGCTATTGAGTCGGAACCATGAATTATAGGTTGATTGATTTACTGCTCATTAATTATATTTTCAAAGGCTCATTATATGACTGTCTACTTTGGATTTGAGCCCTCGGGATTGCAAGAGTTAGATAGTAGAATATTCCACGCAACTCCCGGCTATCATTTGTTTTTTAAACTGTTCTCGAAGTGCAGTATAAAATATATATTGGACAATGATTTGGGTCTGAAGTTTTGGATCTACACTAAAGAACCGGCGCTGCAAAGGAGACTAGGTTTTACTTAGAAAACACGTTTAATTTATACTAAGAGAATGTCAATTTTTTCTTGTTTGTACATATTGAACTCTGACCGTTATTAACGAAAAAAATAAGATGAATAAAACGGAATTGATTTTGACTATAATGTATAGTCTTATATTTGGAAAATTATTTGTATTAAGCTAACTAATGTTTCATTTTAAAAAAATCAAAAGTTTGAATACGAGCGGGGGCGTTGATTGTTTTTTGTAAGAAAGTTGGTTTTCATTCCTTTGTGTTAGTATTCGGAAAATTTTTTGATTTGATTGTTTTCGTTTAACCGTGAATACCACGATCTCAAAAACGACCTTGGGACACTCCTTTTCATTTCTGCTTTGAAACCAGCATTAAATTTGATTTAATTGCGATTGGGAGAAAAAGTCATGGATTTTGCAATAGTAGGCAATCATCTAAATAAGATTTTCATGCCAACATCAAATAGCTATTCATCTTGGCCTAAGATCGATCGAAATCCTTGGTAGAGTGTTTTCGTCATTTAAATAAGATTCTCATGCCATCATCAAACAGCCATTCATCTTGGCCTACGATCGATCGAAATCCTTGGTAGAGTGTTTCGCTGACGAGCTCGCTTTCTTTTAATGTGCATGTCTTAGCGTTGGGAATTCCGTAGTCATGGTCAGGCACCTCTTTCAGAATAACTATAGTTGTAGAACAAGTTCAGTCTTATATGGCTTTAGAAAACTCATTAATAATTCATGAAGAAAACACAATAGAAATCATGACCATGAAGGTGATTTTATATCTGATAAAGATTCGTCTTCATTTGCATAAAATTTAACTTGGATTTTCTCTATCAAACTTGGTTCATTTCGTAAAAAAATCGGTACACAATGAGAACAAACATCATAAGTTTTCTAAGCCGTTCAATAAWCTCGCAGATCGTGGTTTATCGGGTCTAAAACCACTCGGCTGCGCCTCGTGTTTTATACCCGATAAAACACTCCTGCTCGTTTATTAAACATTACGTAGAGACTTAGACTTAAAAAAAAAATCATGAATTTTTCACTGAAGTACAAAAGTACATGTTAGCTACAAACCGTTTTTTATTCACCAAAGATTAATTATTTTTTCATTTCCTGTTTTCATTATTTCGCTTTTGCTAGCTTAATTTTCTTTCTTTGTACTGTAAATATTATGGATGTGAGCCCCCTGTTAACCTTTACAGCTTTTGGGGCAAATTTTTAGTCAAATATGTCTAAATAAATAAAAAAAAATAAAATAAAAAAACAAGTTCAGTCGTGAAGGGAGAAAACCTGAAGTTAAATAAGAATCTTCAATAAGCTCGTACAACACCGATGATTAGTCCATGATGTAATACTGGGCGCAACCTCCTGTGAACATTTGTCGCCGTTCCTAGTAAAGACAGCTGGAAGGCGTAAGGGGATCTAGAAAGTAAATAAGAATTGACCTTAAAGTGATAAACAGAAGTACGTATAACATAAAGTAATAGTTGTGTTTACGACAACTGTGAGGATAGCAAATCAATCTTGTCATAGAAGATGAAATACTCTTGTGTATTCTGACGACATCCTGTCCAACTATGAACAAGTTCGTGGGAAAAGCCAGCTGGTTTTCGAGTTTTATTTAGCCAAGAAAGTAGAAAAATTTATCAAGTGTCATAATATGATTATATGGAATCATTAGCTTCTCTCTTACTCTGCATTTTAAAACCTGAGAAAACTAAAATACAATTAATACTTTTGAGTATAAAAAGGCTTACTGGCTGTTATTCGATCGCTACAGGTGGGCGAGGTCATGTTGTTTGATGTTATATCGAAATAAACTACGGTACGAGAGCTAGGAGCATGCATCTTAGGTAGGTTAATATACGTGACATGCGTCACCGAGGGGATAGGCGTACGACCGAAATAACCTGAACTCATCTAACCTTGATTAATTGAGGACAAAGCCACTACAAGTGCAAAAACGCCTGAGGATTTTCATTCTACTTTTTATGAACATGGCTGAAATACGCACCACGTTCTTCTGGTTCGTGCTTGTCAGTATTACTCTTCTCGGTCGTGCTCAAGGATTTTCTTCCTATACCTTCAAAGACTATTCTTTGAAAATCCAGTCGTATGTTAAGATGTTGACCGTAGACTGGCTTGAGTGTATTTTAGCATGCAGTCATGATTCCCTTTGCTTGTCGTATACATACCAGTACCACAAACCCGTATCGGGTATATGTGAACTCTATGAATGTGGTATGGATCACTGTTTAACACCAGGAAAAACTTTGGTCTTCACTCGAGGATATGTATTCCAGCAAATCAAACCAATTAAAGTAAGTTTTTCTTCAGTTTTCCCTCATTAATTGCTTACTCAACCGGTATTCAGTCGCGAGAAAGCAAATTCGACTTTGCCCTGATTATCACTAGTGCTGACACCGAGCCTTTATCAATAAAGAGAATCATTTTTCTAGATATATGTCTATGAAACTAATTTAACTAAAAGGTATGGTTTTAGTACAAAACTGTTTTAATAATATCAATGGCTTCCGCTGTCGTTTTTGAGAGGAGTCTATTTTCTTCCTTTTTTTTCCCTAATTAATCCAAAAGTTGCCACAACCGCTTTTTTTTAACGACGTTTTGACAGTATCTAGAACATGCATGATATATTAAACAATATTTATTTTGATTACTGTTGAAATTTTCACAGAACCAGTCAAGATGCATTAAAGGTAAGCGAGGGTTGAACACTTTTGTGCTTTGGTCATGTAAATGTCTGTCTGAGGATCTTTGAATGCGGAGAAGTGAAACGGCTTATCTTCAAGTCTTGGATATCAGTTTATAGTTTTACTTTGACAAGCACTTGAATGTTGTTCAGCCGGGTTGACTCATTACGACAAGTTATGTTCTAAATTCAGTACACCAGGTATTCCAACCCATAAGTTGCCATAGTAATCTCTTAATGCCAATTGAACTGAGCTAGCAAGCTATGCTGACGGCCATCGCTGGAGTTGGTATTTTTAAAGTGTATATCAAGGATTTTTTTTTTCAAAATCACTTATATATGAATAGTGTAGTAGTATGGTTGCAGTATTTTTGTATGTAACATTTTCTTTTAGGAGATATAAACATCTGAAATATCAATATGCAAATGAGATGACGTAAATTCAAGACTAATTTATTATACAAAAATGCTGTTGTGGAAAGTACTGCTGTTTTTTCATTTGCAAATCATCTTTATAATTGAAATATATGACTTCGTACACTTTTAGGTTATTTCACTTCGGAACACTTGTCGAAAATTACACTGCAAGATGTAACCTATTCTTGAATTTACGTCATCTTATTTGCATATTGATATTTCAAATGTTTATATCTCTGAAAAGAGAGTTCCACATGCAAAAATACTGCAACCATACTACTACACTGTTCACATATAAGTGATTTTGAAAATGATTTTTTTCCTTGATATACATCACACAAGATAATGCAATATATGAATACACACACACACACGCTTATAAGCTATTGGGTGTTAATTATCGGGCTCATTAATAACTGTATGTAAACTGTAACTATGAGTGATTTCTTCAATTAAAACATGTCCTTTGGGTAATAGCACTGAAACAATCGGCATATCTCACTCATATTTGATGTATCTCAGTGACTGATATCTACTGATCAATGTCCCTTTACTAAGCAATCGATACCAGGTAACAACCAACCAGCTTTCCAGCTGAGCGGTGTATACGCGGTGCGCAACGCATGAGTGGACAAAATGACCAGGCGACATGCATTCCTTTTAGCTTGGAAAAACGAAGCAAACATGGCAGTAAAGTGAAATTGTTTTTATTCTTCTTTTTCATATTTCTGCTTCTCGTAGGCACGTTTATTATCTTTTAGTCAAAAGAAAACAGAAAAAACACGCAAACGTTGTTTTACAGTAGGCTGGGAGTATGCTGATGAGATCAATACTGGTTGTTACTGCATCTTGCTCGCACCTTCATCACTGTCAGTTCAAACTGAAATTTTCTTGAACCAACCATGCCTTATTAAGTTTAGGTCGTCGCATCATTAAAAATATTATTCAAAGAAAAAGTTGAATTTTATAACATGAAATTTTCGGCGCAAATTCCTCATTCGACCAGGAAGTCTGGGAAGCTAGTCTTATACTCTTAGTTATCACTTCAGACATCGATGAATGTGCTAGTACTCCGTGCCAGAATGGAGGGAATTGTACAGGCAAAGAAAATGGCTTTATGTGTGAGTGCCCGAATGGATACACTGGAAACAGATGCGAAGATAAACGTAAGACAATAAAATGTGCTATAAGTTTTATTAATTGGTTGGATCCATGGAATGTTTGATGTCTCCAATTATTGCATTTATAGGACAATACATGGTCCATAACAAATGAGGCGAGGGCTAGACCCCTTCCAAAGACAAGTATCGAGCGTGCCTTTCCCTATATGGATTTTTGGGTCCTCCTAATGCCAATGAAAATACCACCAGCCCCCCCACCCCCCCTTACTTAATTACCATCCCTAAACTTTTCGTGGGATTGCCAGCTCACTAGATACACTGTGCTGACGAGGCCCAATACAGGCCGAAACAGCTGTCCACAGTTTCTAGTTGAGCTGGCTCATTTTTTACGCGACTTGAAGTTGTGAAAGGCTTGTATGGCACTCTTCTTCAGTCGTTTCATCTAAGGCTCGTAATTTACTTATTACGCATGTTCTTATTTGATATCCGAGCCCATCCCAGAGGGCTTGCTGCCTCATCTATCTCGTTATACATAGGTTTATTTAAAAATAAAACTTGGCGTCATATTCTTCAGCTCCCTCTTCCATCTCGAAAAACATTTTTCTTTCCTTCCTGCGGGGCCAATCTCCTCAAACGCAACGTAAACAAGTGACAATATTGCATGACCAGTCCGCGTCCTTCTCATAACGATTTCTAGCTTGCTGATACCTTCAGAGGCAAAGAGCCAATCAGCGCGAAGTAAACATGCACAACTTGTTAAACTTTATAGCGTAATTACGATAATTTACATACTCCTTTTAGTTATTTCGCCCAATGCAAGGTTTTCCCTGTTGTCTGTTTACAGTCAATTCAAAAAACGTTGTCGTCGACCAGCTCAAGCCTACGCGACTGGACCGAAAGGAATATGGGTAAAAATCACTGAAGCAGTTAAATATTCGTTCTGAATTAATTGTTCCCACTAGTAATAAGATAATGGCGAGAAACAATCCATCAATAATGCATGTCTTTGGGTTTAGGGAAACAAAAACAAAGTACTAATGATTCAGTTCACAATTCCGAAAATATAAAGGCATTAAAAAAACGTCTCCTTCGACACTTCCCGCTCGCCTAAGAAGATTCGTGTTGTAAACCAGGCATAACTAGTCAGATAAAATTATGGAGTCAACTCGGCTTCAATGATTGTTACCCAGAGTTCCTTTCGGTCCAGTCGCGTAGACTTGAGTTGGTCGTCGACAACATTTTTTTAATTGACTGTATATTTTTGCGCGACGCCGCATTGCAGATATGTACGGGCTCAATGCTAACAGGTTTTGAGTTTGTCATGCAGGCCTGGTTACAAAAAAATCAGCTAGCTTTATGGTTGAACCCTTCATGTACAACCGTATCGATTTTTTAATTTGTTTATAATACATATGTCATTGAATCACAGATGAAGGAACGTGCACTCCCAATCCCTGTCAAAATGGAGGAACTTGTAATTCTAGCAATGGAGTTTTCTGGTGTTCTTGCAACCCCAACCACTATGGGTACACCTGCCAGAGTGTCAAAGTAGAGTAGCACGAACCTTACATAAGGTAAAACAAAAAGCAGCTCTTAGAGCAGCTTTCGTATGACTGTGAAAAGCTCTGGGCACAAACACGGCTCAAACACGGTTGTGACACTGCAAAGCATACGTCAGACCAATCACATCGCTCGAAAATTTACTCTTTTTCCAATCAAATACCCAAAACATCGTGGACACGGTTACGCCAAGGTCACGGCACTGCGCATGCCAGAGCAATCACATTGCGAGAGAAAATAATTTTCCAATCAAAATTCTAGAAATCATCACGGTCGGAGCAAGTTAGGCACGCTAAGGCACCGACTTTTTCACAGACATACGAAAACTGCTTTATTTTTTTGTGTGCTTTTGTCGTAGATTATTGGACGGTTGATTTATGGCCTTCAACATGCATTTTAGTGAATTCAATGGAGTACACGTTATATTATGGCTATCTTGGTGTGGCTGCCAATTTACTGCCTCTTTAACTTAGGTGTAATGTTTTCCCATCTACCTTCTCTCTTGAGAAGGAGATTCTTTGTTTGAGTTGTATCCATATTCATGTATCTTCTCATGCGCAACTGTTAAACGAAGAAATAATACTGTAGGAAATGACATGTAAATTGAAATGAGAAGCACGCAGATGGCGTGCGGCGCCTTTCGTCATGCAATGCGACCCGGGTTTCGAATCCAGCCGGCTCGGCGTTGCGTCGTATGTGAGTAGAGTTGTTTGTTGGTTCTCTCCAATACTTCGAGGGTTTCTCCCCAGGGTTCTCCGGTTTTTCTCCCTTCCACAACAATCAAATTCTAATTCGATATATCGACTGCTTTATCTTGGTTGCGAAACTTTTTAGGCATTAAGCCGTCTACCCAGGAGTGTAAATGCATTAAAAAACAATGCACCCAAGCAAAAAATGTCTATTAATGCATTAGCTCGGCACGAGTTTTTGTAAAGCATTCTTTCTAGGATTTCAAATTTAGAATATCTTCTCAGCAAGACGAATGATAATCATAATAGTAAACATGAAAGTAATCGAGAATGTTATCCGCCAACTGTGACACAGGCAGCCCAATCTTCTTTTCTAGCATTTGTCGAGTTTTGATATTTTAGCTACCTAACAATTAGATGTATCTTTTAAGATTATACTTATTCATTTGTCTCAGTTAGATATAGTCGACCGCAACGTAAACTGGAACGTACATAAGATGGTGATCATATTAGAAGACTAACTTTCAGTCTACACCATTGCCTGCCGGATGAAGACTAACACTAGCACTAGTTCCATCTGCACTGCCAAAATCTTAAGACAAATGAATAAGTATAATCTTTGATTTACATCCACGATGGATAATCTTTTTCATTTTATAACTGTATCTTATTTTTTTATATCTCGACAGAAGCGTCAGTTAACAGAGTTCATGGTATCCCTGTACGTGTCGTTGTATGTGTGATAAGGTGTTGTAGCTGGAGGCCGTGGTGGTACGTAATGGATCATTAGGGAACGGAACACTGATGCATCTCTCCCCAACTCCACAATGTATCACGAACATGTCGTCAATGTAAAAACGATATATAAAAATAGACATGGTTTCCATGTAGCTTTTCTTCCCTTTATCTTTGTTAATTTATTTCCTTGATGTTTTCGCCTGATGATGAGATCTAGACAGTTCTTGAACCAGCTAGTCGACGCATTTAGATTTGACGCTGCTCAGAACCGATCTATTCTTCTGCAGTGGCATGCATTAAAAGGCTTTTCGTGTCGCTCTATAAACGGAGTGGCGATGTCTTTCTCGTGCTATTAAAGATTAATCGTTAAACGTCAATCGCTTTAGTAACCAGTAGAGAAATAAACTGATGGCTTAGAGATTCAGTAATTAAAACGAAAGAGGATATTACATGGCAGCGCGTGTCTCCTATCAGTGATAGTGGCGTCACGTCACGCTCACTCCCCTAGTAGTGAGGATTACGTGACGACACGAATAGCGGCTGCGTAAGAGACTAGTCGAGGAGCAAGGTGATACGTATTACGTATTCTCGACACGAGAAGGTAATAATCCGTATCTCCGCACGGCGTGCTGCATTCTGATTGGATGAGCTACTAGTAGGCTATGACATATACCCTACTAGTAGCGAAAAGTGCCTTCCTTGAAAACCAAAAAAAAAAAAAAAAAAAAAAAAAATTTA